TTTTGTTTGTTTTTGTTTGTTTTGTTTTTGTTCTTTTTGAGACGGGGTCTCACTCTGTCACCCAGGCTGGAATGCAGTGGCATGGTCTCAGCTCACTGCAACCTCTGTCTTCCTGGTTCAAGAGATTCTCCTGCCTCAGCCTCCCAAGTAGCTGGGATTACAAGCGCATGCCACCACGCCTGGCTAATGTTTGTGTTTTTGGTAGAGACAGGGTTCCACCATGTTGGCCAGCTAATCTCAAACTCCTGACCTCAGGTGATCCGCCTGCCTCAGCCTCCCAAAATGTTGGGATTACAGGCATGAGTCACCGCACCTGGCCCCTTTCTTTTTAAAAGCCTAAAAAGAAGAGAGAGAAAAGGTGGAAGAGAGAAGAGCCTGTGCAGTCCACTCATAACTAGGTAGAGGGCAAATGCAAACTTAATAGAAAATTTAAATTTTAAAATAGAAATAGGCATTTTAAAATTTAAAGTGAATAAAGTTTCATTACTGCACTTCTATCTACCTTTGGAATGGATTTCTACAAAATCCTCTCTTTTATGAGGGGAAAAAATTGCTGTGAAGCTTAAAGCCAAGAATAGTGAAATTTGACCCTCAGACAAGGTGTAGGGAGGGTGAAGGGAAGGGAAATAAAAGCAAGCTGTGATAAGAACCTGTGAGTCATCCTCCTTTGCCTTCTTGAGAAGGAACAAATGTTCTCACCACAGTGTTGGCTCATATAGAGATTTCCCCATATCCCAGGCAATGCTGAGCTCAGAGAGCTGGGTCAACCATGAGTTTCCCTAGCCTGTCCATCATTTAGAATTTGCGGTCTGCCCTAACCTAAATTTTGGAAGGCAAATGGGGACAGACCTCTCACTGACCTCTTAGGTTCCTACGACCCATTGTTCTTCCTACTTCATCTTCACCAGTAAGCCTGTCCTCTGGCATAGCAAGCTGTCCTCGATTTGTCCTCCAGGTTAACTCATGCCAAAGAACAGGACACAAGACAAGCCCAGAGTGTGACTTCCTTTACTAAACCATAACTGCAATGGATATTAGGTTGGAAGCTGTTGAAACTGTCTTTAGTCGGAGCTCAGGTTGCCAGCAACATAGAACTGTTTTCTTGATTTGAACCTTCTTGTCACTCTTCCATCCTCATCCAAAATGAGTAAAAATTATGACAGCCATAGCACATTTCAATAGCATGTCGCCAATTACAAAACGCTGCGGCTGACATAATGACACTTGCTCCTCAAGGCAATCTAGAGATCGGGTACCCAGCACAGGTACTGTCATCCGCTCCATTTTGACACAGATGAGGAAATGGAGATCAAAGAGGTTAAGATGTGGCGGAGGTCACACATTTAATGAGGGAGAGAATTTGCCCTAGAATCCTGGATTTGACCCTGAGCCCAAGGGCTCTCATTGGAGCAATGTCTGACTCCACTTTGTAAGAAGAGAGTGTGGATGTCTTTAGGCACTGGGGTAACCAGTCTCTCTGTTACTTCCCTGGACTGGATTACTGGTACCTAAGAAAGAGTTGTGATAAAAATATTTTCTTCAGAAACTTCTTGTGAGTACCTACCTACTCTAAATAATAAAGATATTGGAAATTGGGAACTTAAAACCTCCATCAGTGCAGAAGCAAATTATGTTCAGGGTAGAGGTTGTAGTAGTCATCTTTTAAAAGTACTAAAATATCATCTATTTGTTTATATGGGCATTTTCTAGTTAAGAAGTGAATACTGCTTAATACATTTTGGATGCTTAATAATTTATTAATATTAGTTGTGTTGTTAATTATAGTAAACAGCAGATTGTAGGGAAATTACACTATTAACCTTCTAGCTAGTGTGTCTGAGAGACAATATCTTCTTCATTTTCCTGTAATGGTTCCTTATGGGGATTTTTAAAAAATAAAAAACCATGGTCAAGTGAAAATGCCACTCTCTATTTTAGCAGTACCTGCCTGAAATTACCAAATTGATTACTTAATAATTAATTCTGTTGTTTTATTTTTGGCATGGCGATGGCAGGTAACTACATAATAACTAACTGTCGTAGCTCACCCTCACCCATGTCCCTCCAAAAACAAAACAAAAACTACCTGAATCAGCCATTGTTTCACCCTGAGGTTATTAAATAAAGGAGGCTTCTGGAGACTTTCTTTAGGAAGAAAATTGTTTTATTTATTAAATGGGATTGGTAAAACACTTTTTCAGCAGATCATCGTGGTAACTATGAGGTGTTTAAGAGCTGGTATGTTATAATAGATCAAACCATGATGTCAGAAACCTGAATTTTATTCCAAGTTCTGTTTTAAGAAAATATCCTCTTGCGGTTTTGTAGGGTTCTTCAGCTTTTGTAAATGATGCTGTTGGGAAATTTCAGGACTGAATCTCTAATGCTGAACTGCTCTGGGTGAATTCAGTTCACAGCTGAGACAGCCCTAGGATCCCAGTTGCTTTTGTTGATGAGATTGGCAGCCAAATCCAATCTCATCCTTGGATCTCAATCCAATCCACCTTTTTGAAGGAGTCAAGGAAGAAGATAGGTCCTATAGTTCAGGATGTAAACTGAAACCTTTTACAAGACTTCTGAAAGGCTTCCCTTTCATTGTCTGCTTCCAGAAACAACTTTGCCCTGAAACCTGGGAGGCCTGTTGGAAATCCCTCTGCCCTGTGGAGGCAGCCTGAGCTCCCAGAAAGTAACTTTTTTTTTTTTTTTTTGAGATGAAGTCTCACTCTGTTACCCAGACTGGGGTGCAGTAGTGTGATCTGGGCTCACTGCAACCTCCACCTCTCAGGTTCAAGCAATTCTCTGCCTCAGCTTTCCGAGTAGCTGAGATTACACGCGCCCGCCACCATGCTCAGCTAATTTTTGTATTTTTAGTAGAGACGGGGTTTCACCATCTTGGCCAGGCTAGTCTCGAACTCCTGACCTTGTGATCCACCCACCTCAGCCTCCCAGAGTGCTGGGATTACAGGTATGAGCCACTGCACCTGGCCAACTTTTTTTTTATATATAATAACCTATAGTAGAGTCTCCTCTGTTGCAGAAACCTTCAGCATGTGAGGGTTTTGTTTAAATAGTTGTAACCCCAAATACTCACATTACTGTCACATTGCGGGTGCCTGTCCTATCAGAAGTAGCCCGGCTTCTGAAGGTACAAGACTTGAGGGAAGTGAAGAGGAGGTGTGGATAGCTCAGGTACTAGAAAAATCTGGATTAGTATGCTCTGTCCATCTAAAATGGACTTGGACCTTTTCTCTGCCCTCTGTTGTATGTTCCTCAGCAGCTGTTCAGCAGCTGCCTTGCTCCATCCACCTCAGCAGTGGGTGAAACAACTCCACTGTCTGTTTATTGCAGAGCAGAAAGGGCCCTGGGATAAAATGCCCTGAATAAACACCAGATATTGTGAATATTTTTATTCACCATAATGAAGCACATTATTATTAGCTGAGCACTGTGGCTTCCCAGCTGAGAGCTGGTGCACTTGACAGTGCTCCCTCACATCCAGCCCCTCCTCTCTTGGAGCCCAGACGAGGTGGGGAGGCTGCATCCGGGCTGGAGGTTGTTTCCCTAGAAAGACGGCTGGGATGCTTGCTGTGTGCCTAGCCCTCCATCCCGAGGCCTCCGAATTTCAGCCAACTTGCTGCCAGGTTTTATTCCTTCTCTTAGTTGTTTAGTTCCGGGCGCCGGAGCTGGCTAGGGAATGAGCTTACTGTATAGATCTCATGTTTATATAGCACTTTTCCATGGAGAGTGGAGAGTAACATGCCGTAAGGACCTGATCTTCTGTGGATTCATCTTCTGCATAGGCCTGCAGAGAGGACAGGAGGGATTTATTACCAACTTTATTTTTACCAAGAGGGAAATTGAAGACTGGAGAAGTTTACCCAGTTATCAATATAGACAAATATGTTGGATTTCTATGTTATCTATATTTTGAAGAGATAATTATGACATGTATTTGTAGGGCCAGGCACGCATACAGTAACTCATTTAATCCTTACTACGCTTTGAGGTGGGTATTGTCATCTCCATTTCACAAATTAGAAGAACAAGGCACAGATACGTTAAGTAACTGTGAAGACCCACAGCTGAGTGAGTCCCAGAGTCAGGAGCTGGACCCGGGCAGGCTGTGCTGTCACTTAGCCTCTCCACTGTGTTCATGTGAGGGATTTGCTCAGTCTGCAGGTCACAGCACAAGAGCATAGGTGCTGTTAGCCTTGCTGAAGGGTCGGGAACGATTAAATCCAGTTTTGGGTGAATTAGATGAGGCACTATGTAGTGAAAGGTGCTTCAATATTCACAGAGGCAGGGTCAAAAACCCAGGCCCCCATTCACCAGTGTGGACACAGCCCAGTGGATGCACCTGCCTATTACCTTTTGCCAACCAACCTCAAAGGATTTCTTAGATAATCAGTAAATGTGTCCTATTGTTAGTTACCAAATTATTGACACATATGACAACGGCAGTGCCATGTTATCAATAATGGACATGTTTCTGCTGTTAGTAAGCTGGAGCAATTGAGTTTTTAGTTCTTTAACTCTCAGAGCATCATCTTGTCTTTTTTGTTGCAAATCTATTACAGTTTTACAGTATTGCTTTGAGTGAATCTGTGAATACATGTTTCGTTGAATGCTCAGCTAAGGAAACCAGATTACAGATGCTAAGTCATACTAACGAAAGAGAGGGCAGGAGTTCTCAGAGGAGCAAGCTCAGACTCTAGGAAAGGATAGAGGCCCTGGCCTAAAATTGGAAGAGCTCAGGCCCTACCTCTACCTCTTCATGTTTGCTGTGTGCCTATGGAAATGTCTCTTTACCTCTCCGGGCCACAGGTTTTTTTTACCTGTTAAATAAGGAGATGAGGAAATATGATTTCCAACTCCACTTCCAGAACCGATGATATGCTCGTTTATAAACTGAGAGTTTTATTTCTACAGGGATAGTTCCTGAATCCTCTCAATCATGTTTTGATGCTGTTTTTCTAAGACCCCGGGGACAGGTTCCCTTTGTGTTATAGACATAGTGGATCTTCAGAAGGCCAGAACAGGAGAGGAAGTTCTTATAATAAAACTTGAACTAGAAACAGATGGATGAGAAATCTCCTGGAAGACTTATCAAAGCTTTTAATTCTATGATTCCATTTAAACTCTTTTGGCTGTTTATGCATTCTAAAATTGAGTATTTGGAAGCACTCCTATATCAGAAATAATGAGCAAGGCAGAAAGCACATGATATATTTGACCCGAAACTCTCTTTGGCTGTTAACTTTGGGGCAAAGGGTAGTATAGTATGTTTTGTACTAGAAGTCATATTCTTACCTTTCACTGTGGTAAAATCATGGGAAAAAAAAAAAAGATTAAAATGATTAAGAAATTTTTTTCTCTTAAAGAAAAATTCAACAGTATGGCCAAAACTTAGAGCCACAGAAGCGGGAAGGGACGTCGACCACAAACTATCCCAGTTTTCTTGCTTTACACGAGTCTCTAGAAAAGCCCATGTGGCCTGATGTCGTAGGCATGATGCCTATTGAGGCTTGGACCCTCAATGACTCTGTGTTTCTTGTCCTGCCTTTCCAGGCCTGCAACGAGTTCACCACCCATGTGATGAATCTCCTTCGAGAGCAAAGCCGGACCAGGCCCATCTCCCCAAAGGAGATTGAGCGGATGGTCAGCATCATCCACCGCAAGTTCAGCTCCATCCAGATGCAGCTGAAGCAGAGCACGTGCGAGGCTGTGATGATCCTGCGTTCCCGATTTCTGGATGCGCGGTGAGTCTCCCAGGAGGCTGTCCTGCCCTATCTGGGAGTCATTTATCTGGGGCTGGAGTCCACAGCTGGCCCCTTCTACAGGCTCTAGTTTTATCCCATCAACACTGAGCCATGTGGTCGCCTAAGGATGGTTCTGTGAGACTAGATAGGCCATTGGTTTCACATAGTACCAGGAAGACATGTGGTTGGAGGGGATAATCTTTATCACTACTGTTATGCACTCTGGGCAGCAGCAAGGAAGACAGGTGCAGTCAGTTTTTTCTTTTCACAGCACTAGGTACCTCTTTTATAGTTGTATCTTATAACTATGGGCCTACCGCTGTCTTACTAGCATTCTACCGCGACAGGCTCTCTTCAATAAAGTTTATTCCATTTGCTTGGAAGTTGGGATCTTTTCCACACTATAGATGGACAGAGAGTGCACTCCATTCGATTCAGCAAATATTTCTAAGTAAATTGCTGTCTCTGGGCTAATTTTAGGAGTGCAGAATAAGACATGGCACTTTGGACACAGAGGGACAAGTAGGTGGTCTAACGGGGGCCAAGTTGGTTTGATGGTTTCCATCTGGCATTGCTCCTCACGTCCTTACTTGTGAGTTCAGAGCATTCACTTGAAAAAACCATAGATAGAAAGGGCCTTTAAAAGAAGACAAGAACTGAGAACACAGAACAAGTGGTCATCTCTTGACACCCCCACACTCTAGACCGATGGATTTATGTGAATCCCTTTGAGTCCTTTTGCTTCTGTTATCTAGCCTGTAAGATGGTAATAGTTATCTCTTTCATCTACTATAGAAGAATATTTTGATAATTCATCTAGGAAATGCATTTTGATTATGGGTGTGCTTTGTGATCTATAGTTTGTCTTAAATTTGTCATCTGTGAATTCAGACACCGTTCATATTTAAATTCTTGATAATAATCCCAGTCTGTTATTTTTATCATTAGAACATTAGCTAGGTCAGGGTCAGTGCACCATTTCACGATCTATAATTTTGACACTTTTCAGTCTGGTAAAACGATTTATGACTCCCCTTGAGTGTTTTCAGCGCTGAGATCACGTTTTATTCGGCTCACCTACCTGCATTTTTCTCTGTCTTCCCAATTGTGGCCATTACAGTCCTTGGACCTCTTTAAGACACCCTGGCATCTTCTCCTCACTTCGTTTTAGTCAGTGTATTTTGGGTTGCATGGAATATAACATGAGAATGCCAGCTAGCAAAATGTATCTCTGGGCCAGTAGAATTCCATAGCAGAAGTCAAGAGAAAGTAAAAACAAAGGTAATTTTCCCCAGCTGGGTATAGTGCTGGAGTGGAAATAGGCAAAGTCACCTTCAAGCAGGATCCTCTGTGCCTCTTCCTCACCCATGGCCTGCTGTCTGCCCGGCTTCTTTAACGCAGGCTGTTCACACAGTGCAAAGTGCAAGTGACTGGTGGCCTCTGTTTGGGTCCTTCCTCTGCGCGGCAGCCACTGCCACCCCGCATGGATTGTTTACATCTCCATGGTAACTCCCCTAGTTAAAATGCTGGAGTTAGTATTTATGTTGGCAGATATTGAAAAAACAAAAAGAAAGATTGGGTCCAGACTGGGTTCTTTTCAAGAAAGCAAGCAGAGAGAAAGGCGGAGCAAAATTACTGTTTCACTGGGTGTCGTCTCTCAGTAATTCTGCTGTGCCCAGTTGAAGGGCAGACTCTAAAGGACACAAAGCTAAGCGAGCTTTGTGCATAGTTCCTTTCACATCCACCAGCCTTGGCCTGCAGTGTTCCAGTTGGCACCAGAAGGACAGTCACTTGAATACAGGGTCTTTTTCTTGCTTTGGTGACAACCTTTGAATCATTGCCTCTGAGCCAGGATTCAAAACTAAAACAACTAACCTATTGTCATTGTTACTATCATTTTATTTTGGGGGTATATTTATTACCAGTCGAAGAACATGACCCCAAATGCCAGCCTAAGGCTGAGCAAATGGCCTTCTCAGTTCCAAAATAAATGTTTGCCAGACATCCTTTTTGGGGAGTTCACATCAGTGCCTCCAGCATCAGTTACTATAATTGGGAGAGATAGCTAAGCAAACTTAGTAAGAAAGACATACTCACTGCAGATATTCACATGCTCCTCTAAACCATGCGTCTAATAGGCAGGGCCTCACCAAAAAAAGATTTCATGGAAGACAAATAAAATACAAAGAGGACTTGATTTAGTAATAGGATTAGTCTTTGTAATCTAATAGGTGTGTAGAATTGAGTGTTACTACTTTGTTGTGGAACACTCATTGTATTAGCTTTCTATTGCTGCATACCAGATTACCACAAATTAAGCAGCTTAAAACAACACAAGTGTATTATCGCACAGTTTCTGTTGGTCAGGGGCCTGGGCATGGCTTAGCTGGATCCCCTGCCCTAGCCACAACGAAGCTGTAATCAAGCTATAAGCTGAGGCTGTGATCTCATCTGAGGCTCAGGGTCTCCTTCCAAGCTCGTTCTCGTTCTTGGCAGAATTCATTTCCTTCTAATTGTAGGACTGAGGGCCTCAGTACCTAGAGGCTGCCCTACTCAATAGGCAGTTCACAATTTGGCTGTCTGCTTTCTTCCTGAGGGCCAGCAGGAGAAACGTCCCATTTTAAGACTTTAATCGCATCTTCCCTTTCATTTACTCAAAAGTCAGCTGATGAGGAGCCTAATCGTATTTACCATCCCGTCTACTCGCAGGGAAGGTGTGGATACCAGGGTCTAGAGTTTTGGAATTCTGTCAACCACACTCCTCAACTGAGCTCTGGGACCAGGTTTATCCCACTCAAGTCATTTCCTGTCTCTTCCTTAGACTGACCTAACTGTACCAGGAAAGTTTAACTTAAAAATTCCATTCATTCAGCATTTATCTTACCATGCTGTAGACCAAGCACTGTGCCCTACAACTTGGTAAGTTTATTATCAGGACTATAAATCACATTTTTTTGTGTGTCGTTGTTAAAAGAGAGAGAGAACTTATAAGCTCTCTAAATGATTGCCAAGCAATAATCTTAACTTTTTCTATAACATTTTGCTGGAAATAACAGTAACATAAACAGGTGATTAAAAGTACGTCTGTGTGCTTCACTGCAATAGTGGGGATTACCTAAAGTAAACTGCCAAAGAGTAGGAGGGCAAGAAAGAGGAGAGGACATCCAAGAAGATCTAGTCTGGTCACACCGGCACCCTGCTTAGACTTACCGGTTTATCTAACTGAGCTCTTACTATCTGCCAGATGTTGTAGTAGCCACTGGAACATCAAAGATGAAAAAAATGCATATAAACGTGGGTCCTACCTTCACAGAGCTCATAATCTCATGGGACAAACACTGTTACAGCTATACATAACACCGCATGTTACACATTAGGTTCATTCATCCACCTACTTCACTCGAAGGAAAGGATCCAGAGAGAGGGCAGAAAATACTGAGTCTCAGAGGAGCGGGATGTTTGCCAAATAGAAGGAATAACAACAAAATAAAACAACATAATTCCACTTCACCCAGCATTCCTTACCTTACTATGTGTTGGACACAAGGGTTTCAAGTATGAGTGAGAGCTATGTCCTGCCTTTGAGGAATCTGCTGTTTAGTTGGGGAGACATATGTAAATCTGTGGCGGATGTTGTGGGAGAGAAATATGCAGGGTGGTGTAAAGAGGCACAGGAGCATGAAAGCCACGAGACTTTGGGGAATGCAGAGGCATATGATGTGGCTAGACGAAACTGTACAGAGCATGTGTAGGATTGAGGGGAAATGAGGCACTAGGGATAGGAAAGAGCCACTGAAAACCCTTAACTATACCGGTGAAGATTTTAAATTTATCCAATGAAGCAGCAGAAACCCTCAGAGCTATTTAAGGAAGAAATATGGGAAATTAGCACATCAAATTGCACAGGATTCAAATTCTGGCCACAACTCTGATGACGTATATGACCCTCGATAAGTAGCTTATTTTCCCAAGACTCATATTATGTTAATGTATATACCCATCATTGTTAAATTTTATAATGATTAGTGACATGATCGTATCCATGGTTTAGGAAGGTTACTGTTAGTGATTCTCTGGAAGATGAGCTGGATTGAAGAAGAAAGAATATAAGGAACAATTATTGTAGCCCATGCTCCTCAAACTAGGGCCACACAAAATAAACTGATATACCTTCCACATTTTCCATAAGTATTCAAAAGGAAAAGTTCGTATTTTAAGATAAACGTTGATATATGTTAGAGTAGACTAAAACAAGAGGTTCCAAAGATATTTATGTTTTCGATGGTGTCCCCAGAGCTACAATCTTTTTCCAGGAGGGCTTCTTGGGTGCTATTTTTGGAAAGCATTGATCCATTGTTGCACTGTCTGGTATATAGCTATTTAATTTTGAATTTAACTAAATACTAAATTAAAATAAACGTTTAAAAAATAGCTCTCTGGTTACTCTAGCCACATTGCACCTGCTCAGTAGCCACATGTAGTCACTGACTACTATATTGGACAGCAGAGATATAGAACATTTCACTCATAGCAGAAAGTACTCTTGGGCAGCACTAGTCATACAAGCATGTGATAGGCAGTGGCTTCTCTTCACTCATTTCACAAATAGCGGTGCAATTAGAATGGAACAAAAGAGATAGATTTGAAAGCATAGAACTGGCAGGACTTGCTTTGGGGCCAATCATTTGATGAAGGTAAGAAAGCAGGAAGAGTTGAGAATCACTTCCAGTTTCTAGCACATGCTGGATACCCAAATCTTCGAATGAATGAATGAATGAACAAATTAGCAAATATAATGAACCCTATCTATAGTAATTTCACTAAATAATAAGGATAACAAGGAAAATGGAGCTGATTTGGGTAAAAGGTGATGTTAGTTTTGGAAACAGTTTATTTGAAGTTGCCTAGAGTCTGTAGTCATAAATGGGCCAGTGGCTCTTAGCAGAGGTATTAGAGTAGGAGGTAATAAATTTGGTAGTTAGCAGTGTATGTCTGCAATGTCTACACATCTCACTGTCGTGAGTCCTTTAAAAAAAACTTCCCCCATGGACCCTGTGATTCAAATGTTTTCTGTCCCTAAACACCATATTTATCCAGTAATATTTAATCAACTTCCAAATGTCTTAAATTCAAAACCTAGATGCCCAACTTGCAAAGCTACTGATTGGTTTGAAATCACAAATGTTAACTCGCCAAGGTGATAACACTTCAAGCCAAAGCAAAGAAACCAGGTGTCTCAGTTGGCTCAACCTTATTGTAGAAAGACGTTATTTTCACTAGGTTTCTTGAAATTCTGAAAAATCCTGATCCTAGGATTTCAAAGGCCGTAGATTGAGACAGCTACTAAAAGAGGTGATAAGCGAGTCCATCAGAGTAGATGAGACCACCTAGGGAAGATCACACATCACAAGGAGAGAAGAGCTGGGAACAGCTGTCTGCACCATCCGCGTACCACCGGCTCATTCCAGAGAGGTTTCCTTTGAGCTCAATTGGAAGAGTCCCAAAAAATACACAGTAATGCTAATGTAAACAACTGAATGAAGGAACGGAGACTCCCAATTAGGGAGCCTTCAGGGTCCAGTTCCCCAGGCCTAAAACAACAGCCTTCTTTAGGCGAAGAAGAAGGAGAAACCAAAGGTTATCTAAAGCCTGGCCTGCAGACCCTGTTAGCCACTTGGCTATCTTCCTCAAATTCCCATCGTGAAAGAGCTTTTAACACATGCCTACTTTGTAGTTGAGTTTTTAAATCCAGTCTATACAATTTCTGATGCTGGGTGACCCAGAAACTCAGCGTGATTTAGGAGAGTGACTTGGGCTTGGTATAATCTGGACAGATGTGGTTAACACCTGTGGACAGATGGAGTTCACCCAGTAAAATCAGGCACTTTATTGTGTTAATTAATCCAAGTGGGACCCTGAAAATACAATATTAGCTGAATTTCCTGTCTGGCAAGGCCGTCAGTGCTTTCTGTTGGCTAAATTGGGAACTCCCATATCCTGGCATCATCAGAGATGTTCTGGAAATCTTTTCCATATGGAAAAGGTTTTAATAAAAGCAAGAAAGGCAACAGTGCTAAGCGAGCTAATTTAAAGATGAAGGCCTCACACTTCAAGGAGGGCCAGCCAGCCCTTGCAGTGAGCCTGGAGTCCCTACCCAACTCCTGCAACTATCCACAGACCTTCATTGTCAGGAAGCGGTAAAGTGATTCTCACTTTAAATTAGTTCAATTAGCACTTTTTTTAAAAAAGGCAGAAAAATGCTTTTATTCAAAAGAAGTGATTTTCTCCTTTTTGGCAACCTGTATATGAAAAAGATTTCTATGGGCTTTTGTTTTACCATTTAGCAGCTGTTCTTGCTTAAGAAGTGCCACTTCTCTCCTTTTGAGAGAGGTCAAACTGTTGGGGGTTAATTTCAGTCAGTTCCATGCCCTCTTCTGCAGATGCCTTTTAAAAATGTTACATACATTTACATGGGGATAGAATGGAAAGAACTTGATAACTTATTTTTAACTTATGGCTACAGAGGCTCTGTGTAATTGCAAGGAGCCAATTTGTATAGAAGAGAGAGATGGGGTTTTGTAGTCGGTCAGACCTGAGTTAATACCTTGACTCTGTAACATACCAGCTGAGTGACCTTTGAGCTCAGTTCTTCATCTGTAAATTTGAGTAACCATGTCTACCTCAGTAGAGTTGTGAAAAATTAATAACTTGAATTGATTGCCAAGAGGGAGGGGTAAATCCCAGTGCCTGGAACCTGGTAGGAAGAAAGACCAAGTCATAGCGCCTGCCACGTGTTGGTCACTGTGCTGAATGCTGTCTTCGTGTGGCCTCATTTCTTCCCTTCTCGCACCCTGTGAGGTCAGTATGACCCTCTTCACTTTAATTGAAGAAGCTGATCAAAATCACCCGGCTGACATTCAATTGATCAGGCTTCAAAAGCAAGATGGGCCTGGGTGTGGTGGCTTACACCTGTAATCCCAGCACTTTGGGAGGCTGAGGCGGGTGGATCATCAGGTCAGGAGTTTGAGACCAGCCTGGCCAACCTGGTGAAATCCCATCTCCACTAAAAATACAAAAATTATCTTGGCATGGTGACGCACACCTGTAATCTCAGCTACTCAGGAGACTGAGGCAGGAGAATTGCTTGAACCCGGGAGGCAGAGGTTGCAGTGAGCCAAGATTGCACCACTGCACTCCAGCCTGGGCGACAGAGTGAAACTCCATCTCAAAAAAAAAAAAAAAAAAACAACCAAGTTAGCCTGAATTTTGAAACTTTATGCCCCTCACTACTCTGCAAAAATATCTGTGCCCACTGTTCCTGTTGGGTACCCAGATGGTACACCATGAAGTATTGAGAAAATGCTTTTAATGATGGTTTTGGCATCCAGCTCCTTTTGGTAAATCTGTTCCAATTCACCTTTTGCTCAAAAATTTGTCTTCTCCCAGAAGTAGATTCTATTCTCTCCCATTTTATATTTATTTGGTGTGAGCTTTTTTGTTGTTGTTTCCTTTCTCTTTTCAAAGGCGGAAGAGACGGAATTTCAACAAGCAAGCCACAGAAATCCTGAATGAATATTTCTATTCCCATCTCAGCAACCCTTATCCCAGTGAGGAAGCCAAAGAGGAGTTAGCCAAGAAGTGCGGCATCACAGTCTCACAGGTAAGCCGCCCTCAACTGCCTCAGCCTGTAGCCTGGCCGTGGTGGGACCTCCAAGGCAGGCTCTTAGCGGTCTTGCTTTACTGGATATTCATGCCTTGCAGGTTCCATCAGCTATAGCCTTAAAAAATCAAGGTAAGCGCTTGATGTGTATGTGCGTAAGTGAGTTTCTAGGTAAGCACTTGGCAAAACTTGAGAAGAACCAGCAGAAGGAAGAGAAGAACGAGTACAGTGTAAAAACAGGGTTAGGGTCCTTCCCATCGTGCACTCCTTTGCTTCAAATGGGTGAGGTGTTAAGTGTGCTAGGAAAGTTACCTGCGTTCCTCACGATGTTTATTCAAACTCAGTAGATTCCTTAGCCAATTATTTTTTGCCCAACCCAGGAACTTTAAGAGTCAGTGAATGGAACTAGTTGTTATATAGCCTTTTAAATGAAAGGAACTTAAATGTCTCCTCTTGATGTGCTGACTCTGTAACTGATGGAGTGTAGGAATTTTAACATGTCACTATGATTGTGTTGGAATGGTTGAACAAAATGTCACTGAATGCCCCCTTCCCGCAAACAGCAATAACTGTAACAGGTGGTGTCTGTTGACTTGGAAACCTACATGATATAAAATTTTTATAGGCTTAGAGTTTTCAAAATGAATATGAAGCAGCAAAGTAGGCAGTATTTGTATGTATGTACATTTTGTCCGTTCAAAAGATCCACCCAAACTTCTTATTCAGCCTGAACCTCAAATATCACCACTGGTTTCTAGTTGAGACCAGTAGTGAAGGTTATAAAATTTGTTGGAAAAAGTTTTTCTTAGAATTTTGTCACATGCAGGAGAATTAAATGTACTGGTATTTCCATTAAAACTGGGGAGGGGAGAGAGTACTGAAGGCTACTCTAGCAAGAAATTTCACTTACCATTTTTTAAATGAAGTAGATGCTCTTCTATATAAACTGAGCATCTGTACCTCCTTGAATTGAATCCCAACTTCTGTTAATCCCAGCAGGGTGCCGATCTCATCAACCTGTGTTTAGCTATACAGAATTAGGTCCAGTCAGAATACAGAGCTCCACAAAAGCTATTGACAATGAAGGGATTGCCCAAGCCTTCCCACCAAACTAGGATGACTTTGCAGCAGCAAATATCCTTGAAAACATTCTGATTCAGATGAAGCAGAATGAATTGACTCCTTTTTACCCTAGGCCTTCCTTAGGTGCTTTGACCCAGCCGAAGGTCATTTTCAGTCTTGGCAATTCTGAGAAACTGGAACGTCCATGGTCAAACTCAAGTAGCCTAGTTTTTTCTAGAGCTATCACCATTCTTTTCCAAATCTAGACCCCTTGTCCATGAAAAAAGGGAATTAATACTTTTTTATATTTGCTACATGTTTGAGGAATGCTTCTAGGTGTGGACCACAAACATGCAGCAAGTATCAAATCAGTGAATTTTTTCATGGAACTTCTGCTTTTTAAAGTAGAACTAAATTACTACTGTCTGAATTCCAAATGTGGAATTCAGAATTTCAACTCCCTATTGAAGGTAAAAGGAATCCTCATGGAGATAATTTATCGTATAGCTAGATACAAGTTAAAATCCCGATCTGTTTCAGCAACCTTCACTTCCTTCATTACAGAAACTCAAGGTACAAATAGCGTGTCCATTAAAATGCTTATTTACATATTTTGTCACCTTTCCCTTTCCTCTGCCCATGCCAAGGTCATGCCATTCTTTCTCCACCATCACATCTGTCTCTCCCCAAAGCAACCAAGCTACCAGTGCTAAACAAGTCCAATGGGAGACAATATAATATGATGTCATAGAAGGGGCATGTTTTTGACCAGAGTCAACTGTGGGATTCTAGGGAACTCACTCTTTTTTTTTTTTTTTTTTTTAGCTTAGTTGACCCATCTACTCATCATGATTCGTTGGATCACATGATTTATTAAACCTTTCTTCTAGTTCCCAAAGCCAGGGAATACCTCTTGGGCTATATCATTATTGTCTTTTTTTGAAATCGCAAGTTCTTTTGAAATCTACTAAAAACTATTGATGACCCAAAACAAAGATATGCTGCTCATACACCCAAATCCATCTGAAATCCGCCTATTGACGGTATCTCCCCAGATCCCTAAAGAACCCTTTTTCTACACCAGAGCTACTTGAAGTGTGATCCACAGAAGGCAGCATCAGCATCCCCTGGGAGCCTGTTAGAAGTGTAAATTCTTGAGTGTCACCCTCATTCTGAATCAGAATCTTTGAGGGTGAAATCTATAATAAAAATTTATTTTAACAGCTTCCCCAAGAACACTTAACTTTGAAAAGCAATGCTCTACTACACACTGTATCTCAGTGATCTCTTCCATGCTCACAGCTACAAATAATACCTTCATTTGAATACCTGATGGAACTTCTCTCCTGTAGCACCAAACTCATGTATTTTACTTCCCACTAGACTTCGTCATGGCTCTGCCCAGAGGTTCTTCAAAATTAACTTGTTCAAAATGTGTATCAAGCTCTTCCTATAAAACCTGTTCTTTCTGTATTTCATGTCTCATTCTATGTCTCTTATCTATACATCCCTAGTGCCTAAAGCATATTAGGTCCTTAGTTCATGACTGTTGAATAATTAGTTCATTCATGAAAATGCTGATTGTATGCATTGTCCAGATCATTGTCTGTTGGACAATGTAGGAAGTATCTGAACTGACCTAGCACCTTCCTACCAGTTCATTCTTCTCATTTAGAAGGGACTCATTCCCACATTACCCTTCTCTCCCAGCTTCATCTCATGTTTTTTTCACATATAATTGGACCTCAGATGTTTCTTCTTCAAATATCCTCCAAAACTATCTTCATCTTTTTCCCTTTTTCCAGATTGTGCAGTTATCTGAGGGGAAAAAAATCTCCTTACCTTTTTTCTTCTTTTCCTATCCCATAAATCAAAAAGCAACCATAATTATGACCGATTCCTGTGAATAGTGAAAGTTGTATGAAGAAAAACATAAATTTCAAAGTGAAATTAGATATGCAGTGATCCTGAAATATACCCAGAAGTGTCTTTTCCTCTAGTTTACCTCATTTTCTGTAGACATCAGCATTTACAATAAATAAAGCATTTTCTTATTGAATTCTTTCACTTTTTGTTTACTAATATTGCATTTTGTTTTTCTGTTTTTTTTTTTTTTTTTTTTTTTTTTTTTTTTTTTTTTTTTTTTTTTTTTTTTTTTTTNTTAAGGCTTGGCATTTCTGCTATAGCATAACAGTTGAATAGGCCTATAGTTGTGTAGGCCTTTCAGTGCAATCCTTATAAGCTGTTTTAAGTTTGCTAATGCATTTAAAAAATAAGTATACTTTTGCAACAGTTTTCTTTATCTGCCATTGTTGGGAATTAAATATAAATGATATGTAAGCTGTGGTACATGTGGCATCAACAACCCCTTCCCTCACCAGATTCAAAGTTTGTTTTATAATTAATAAAAACCTCAACATTTTAGTTCACAGTCATATCTGGAATGCGGGATATAAACTTTCCTTCCCAGGGCAGGAATTATGGGGGTAAAACTTGAATTTAACTGTGTCTCCACTTGCCTCTGGCAGAGGTCTTGGTATGAAGTGAGCAGAGGTACCAAATGGAGCCAAGACACCTGCTGTGAACCACATGAAGGAAATAAATTAACAAATGAAAGTAAATTAGGTTTATTGTGTTTGCTGGCTTTAACATTTAAATCCTAGAATTCAAAGGGATAATCATTTGTATGCTGCAGTTTTTTTCTTATGTAGATAATACCAAGCTTTACACAAAATAGCCAGTGAAATCTGGTAGACTGAATTACACTGATCCTAAGGACTATAGTGAAATACAGCTAAGAATCTCAGTCCACATTCAGGTTGTGTAACTTCTAAAAATTGGCAATTAATGTATCACACGAAAGTACCTATATGGATATTTAAAGGTCTGTGTATTTTGATGGCACAAAGCCAGCTTTCGCATTGATAAACGCTAGAGGCATTTCTCCTGAAATGTTAGTTATATTTTAGTGGCATAACTGAAGACGTAAGCAAATGTAAAATGCTTGCTCTAACTTAAAAGTGTTCTAGTTTACGTGAACAGCTCCTTTATAGGAAGATTTTTATCACAGTGGTTTTGCTAAATTTTAGTTATATTAAACAAGAGAATCACATTGTATCTAGTTGTCCTCTTGAAGCTGTTACTTCAGAGCTTTTTACTGATGTTGCCAAATTATTAATATAAGTAGGATAAGACCAATTAGCTTACCTCTTCACCTCTCTCATAAACCCTTCTTTTTCCTCTGCAATGTTTCTGAAGGGTGAAATGTGAACTTTCTCATCTTCTCTTAAACTACTCTAGGTATCAAACTGGTTTGGAAATAAGCGAATCCGGTACAAGAAGAACATAGGTAAATTTCAAGAGGAAGCCAATATTTATGCTGCCAAAACAGCTGTCACTGCTACCAATGTGTCAGCCCATGGAAGCCAAGCTAACTCGCCCTCAACTCCCAACTCAGCTGGTTAGTTGTTTCTTTGATTTGGGGGTGAGGGGAGGAATTGTTCTTCATTTTTATACTTGCTTTTCCTACATTGGGATTTTCTTTTAATTTGTCAGACTTTTGATTGGTTAATTTCTGTATTTGATTGTATTTTTGGATGTTAATGTCACTTTGGGCACTTCCTTTCATTTCCAAAGAGCAGTCTGTTCTACTGTTTATAAGGTGGGTTGTCTGGAGGTTTGCATTAATGTGTCTATTAAGTTAAGACCAAAGTAAATTGGTTGGCTTGATGAGACCTCTAAATTCTCCTCTCAGGAATATCAATAAGTAAGTTAGACATAGTGCTTAGAGATAGGCTATTGGGATTCTGTCATTTGATCTGTTTTATTTAAAGCATCTCTCCTTGTCAATATCGCTGTTCCAACAACGTAATGTCTTGGTCACCTGTTAGCATGCATTCTATGCAGAAATATTTACTCTTCTAGCAAATATCTCATTCGAACTTTTTGGTATGTAAAACCAGGCTATGCATATTTCTATACATTGTTTATAGTTGTTGTTCTTTTTTAGTTTTTGTTGGCCTTCTTTATAATTATCAGTCATGTGCTATGTAATAGGTTTTATTTCAGGAAATATACATTATATCACTAATTTAAGAGTTTAGGCCAAAATACCATATTTTGGGGTGTGTCTTATGTCATCAGTTCAGAATTTCCACATGTAAAAAATATATATAATTAATAATGCAAAAAAAATAACCTTTGTGTTTGTATGTTACGGAAGGCATGTGGTAATTTTTTTTCCTTTGGTGAAGGAAAAACAAGTATTTTCTCATTAAATAAGTTTGGTTTGATTTTGACTAGGGTGCACAGCTAAGAAAATTGATGCGTCTAACTTTAAAAGGTTACCAATTTAAATATGTTTGACCATAATATGATTATAAACCTAATGTCTAACATTTTTTAAGAGTATGTGGTATCTTTGACCACAAAGCCTGTCTGTCCACTAAAATAAGTTTTCTTACAGTGGCTGGCTACTGGAGACATGTAGGGGTCCACAGACTGTCTTCTATGAGCTTTCAGAAGCACAAATTTGTTATGATGAGGTTCTCCAAGTCACTGGGCTATACCCAGCACTTCTTTTATGGCCTTCTTTTATCTAAATGGAATCATGCATGAAGAGCGGCCTGGGCTTTTTCAACATGAATATAATAAAACAACATAGAATTCAAGCCAGTTTTAATGTTGCCAGCACTGCAGGTTAGATTCCTATGAGGAGCATATTTACTTTTTGAGGAATATTTTGTTCTTTTCTTCCTCTATCATGATGTGATTGACAAGGGATCAAGGCTAACAGGTTCAATAACCAGAGAGTTCCATTGTCTCCATCTGGTCAATTATTAAGCATTTCTGACCCAGCAACACAAGCTGAATTGTGCTGCTAGGCAGACATTTCCACTTGTCTCTTTGGAAGAAGTACAATTCTGTCAACATTAGCAAAAATGCACTCAACACTCCTGCAAAGGTTATCATAATGCAAAACAGATATCAAAATGACTTTTTCCTGTCCCTGATATATCTGCATCGCAGATGGCTTAGCATGATTTATGACTAGTCCTCAGTAAGACCCGGTGGACTTTCTTCATTACTAAATCTGTAACTATTTATTCTTTCCTAAAGCCCTTAAAAAGAGAAAAGTAAGCATTTTAACCCTCGCCTCTGTGTTTAAGAATTATGGTTGACTCTTACGGAACGTCAGTCTATGATTTCAGTTTTACAGTTTTCTAAGGAATTTTTCTGGTGGCTTAAACGTCATGTGACTATTCTGAGCACAAGGTAAATTATTATGGAAAATTTGAGCTAAGCCTTCCAGTTGTGCCCAAGTTGTTGGAAATAATCCGCACAGGAACCCCTTTGTAGTGCTTTTTCTAAAGTAGAGATAAAAGAAAATACTATTGTATGTGTGCAACAGCATGGAATTTTAAAAGATAAACATTTTAACAGGAAAGGTTATAAATGGGCTATTCTGTATTTTCTTTTACTCTTAACCAACCCAAATCATCCACACAGATAAAGTAGAACTTTAAAATGTTCAAGCTTTTCACATAGGGCGTTTATCTTGTTATGTACTTGCTCCTCAATAATTTCAAAGGATACATGATAGTTGAAATAAATTTTAAATAAGAGGTTAATATGTGAAAATACATTTTGGCAGAGTTTGCAGTCTAGAGTTCTCGTACCTAGGAACTTTTCATAGCCTCTGTATTGAAGCAAAAGTCTTTTCCAGAGTTTTACAAAATATAAGTATTCATTTCTATTGTAAAGAAATATATTTTTTTGCAGGTAAATCCTCTTCCTGCTAGAGGCTTCTGTATGGAGAACAGCACTTCAGTATCTTAGATTACTTCTAAATATTTCTATTTGTTGATATGTTTCATGTCTCCTATTTTCTTAAGCATAATTTATTTTTTAAAAATCACTTAAGACTAAAACCCAGGGGGGATTAGCAAGCCTTTAGAGACATTTAGCATGCTTCATAGTTTATACCAGCAGAGTTTGACAAAATGGCTGGAACAAAGAGGAAAAATGGAAGGAGAGAAAATTAAATTTTGAAAACAGAAAGCAAAAATAGGGACCAATTGAAGCAATAGTTAACACCTGGGGTCTATAATTCTTTTGTAGTGGCCTAGAATAATGCATTCTCAATTTCTTAATTTTGATGAGATTACAAAACCTCAGAAAAAATGAGGCCCTTTTGGGAAGTTTGGATTATCTTCTGGAGAAGATTTTAACATCCAAAAAGAAAGAAATTGACTTGTGCATTACACATGTTCACTGTGGTATGCCATCAGCATTGATATTATATCATGTCCTGTGATTAGATAAGTAGTGGTGGGCTTATTAAAGCTCAGAACCCCAAGATTTGAATTATTTTACTTAGCTGTGTGTTTGTGTCAAGGACAGCAGCAAATTCAGCCATGAAAGTTCTTCCTCTAGCACTATTTTAGTCAATGGCAAGCTCATATACATAATCTTATAATACCCCTGTATTAGTCTGTTCTCATGCTGCTATAAGGAAATGCCTGAGACTGGGTAATTTATAAAGGAAAGAAGTTTAATTGACTCACAGTTCAGCATGGCTGGAGAGGCATCAGGAAACTTACAATCATGGCAGAAGGTGAAGGAGAAGCAAGGCACCTTTATAAGTCAGCAGGAAGGAGAAGTGCCGAGTTAAGTGGGGAAGAGCCCCTTATAAAACCATCAGATCTTGTGAGAATTCACTCACTATCACAACGGCTTGAGGGAAACTGCCCCCATGATTCAATTAAGTTCACCTGGTCTCTCCTTTGACACGTGGGGATCATGGAGATTATGGGGATTACAATTCAAGATAGATTTGGGTGGGGACACAAAGCATAACCATATCAATCCCTAAAAAGAGGTTTGGTGTTTTTCAGGATTGATGAAAGGTTAACCCATTAAATCTCAAAGCCTTCATGTCCTGTGAGAAGTTTTTGTATAGTACCCACAGAGAGAAGGTAACACATCCAGAGAAGTTGACTGACATTTTAGTAAATCCGCAGGAATGCTTGTAATTTTCCTTTTTAAAACCAAGCGAAAATATTTATCCCACTGATGTTATATCTCAGGTTCTTTCTTAGTATGATTCTCCTCTTTATTTTTAAGTGAAAGTGAAAACAACTTCTCCTGGAATTGTAACTCCACAACCTTGACATACATACCTATTGAAGGGTTTCACAGTGAACCAGATAACACTTTACTCTTTCACTTTGTCCCAAGTAGAAAGAAACAGGGAATTTTGGAATTCACGAGGGAAATGGAAAAGCAAGCATGGGACATAATTAAGCTTACATCTAGTAAAAAGGGTCTATCCTTTGAGCTCCCAAATGATGTAAGAGTCCAATCTAATCAAGCTGAATCAGGCTGGCTACATAATCTGTCTGAAGTCTTGATTTCTAAACTACAGAAAATGGCAATTACTTCATTAAAATACTGTAAGAAAATTGAGTGAATACATTTAAACACTGAGTTTCTTAAGAGGAACGGGTAAATGCATTCTTGTTCTAGGCCTTTGATTCTCATCTGGAGCAAATTTGTACCCACAGGGACATTTGGTAATATCTGGACACATCTTTGGTTGCCACAATTTTGAAGGGAGGATGTTACTGGCATCCGTTAGTTAGAAGCCAGGCACGTGGCTAACCACTCTATAATGCGTAAAATAATTCCCAAAACGTCAGTAGCCCAAAATGTCAGTAGTACCAAGGTTGAGAGGTCCTGTTCTAGGTTTAAGCTTTATCATTATTTCTTTTTTTTACATTATGAAGTTAACTGATTTTTTTTTTGGTTGTTCTGTGGTTTTAATTTGTTGTTGTTGTTGTTTTTCTTTAACAAATTTAAGTCTCCTGAAGATTCTTTAGAGTAGAAATGCAATTTTCAGGAAATTGTCTAATGAAAATGGATATGAACACATTACCACATCATGATGCTTGCCCAAGCAAATGAATTAGAATCTTAGGCGACCCATTATTTTTTCTCTGCCTAGTTGAGTGCAGATTTAGTTCTGTACATGCCCCAAATGTCCGGGTAGCAGTTTAAATGAGCCGCTCACCTTCCTTCCCAAACCAAATTCAGAACCTTTTAAGCGGCAAGCGCGCTTTAAAATGTGCTTCTAATAGTAGCTGATGGCTTCAAAACAGCCTGCAGGTAAGGTTTCTGAATGATCTTCTCAGCAAGCCAAGTCATTCTGTTTCAGCTCTTTGAAAATGCCATAGCACCTCCAGGAGAGCTCATTCACGATTTGTCTGTGGATCTTGAGCTTCCCAGGAGGTTATCCATTCCATGATAAATTTTTTCCAACTTGCTGTGCTGGGTAAAGAACATGTCCTCCCCTTGTCGTTTAGATGTTTGTGTGGACTTCTGTCTGCTTTATTGTGGCGTTAGAGACACCTTGTCTCTTCCCTCAGCACAATCACTGCTTCTAGATACTTATCAGAGAGTAAGAAACCATGGCAATATTGTACATGGGTGTACAGACACAATGAAATGCTGAAATAGCACAGCCAAGATCGCAAGGGAATGTTTCTGCAATTACTGCTCCAATACAAATGCACTTGTACATGAAGGACATTTATATGTGCATATTTATCTCTGTGTACATTAGGCAGCTAGACATATTTATAATTCATCTATGCACATGTATTTTTAAAATCACCTGTGTCAGTTGCAGTGTGTGTCTTGTAAATGGCACATTCCATGCCTTCATGGTTCTGTGGATGCCATGTCATTGGGCATCATGTAGCCCTTTAGGGGGTTTCTCCCATTTCTAAGCTTGTGTACTAATTTCTAAAAACAAGTCGGTCAAGGTTATAGTCCTTATATTTAGGCTGAGGGGGCTAGATTTACCACAGTAGAACCAGTGGAATCTGGGTGGTGCCAAGATAGACCTTAAGGCTGACTCTGGATGATGAGATATCATCTAGAGATGATGGGAGAGAAGTAAAATACCTGGGCCTCAACTGGGGAGTTGGGTGGGGGAGTCTGATGACATATAACAAATTATAATTTGGGTTCTTGGAGCTGATTCTTCTTGGTTCTGATGACATCTAAATGTGAGCATGTATTGTAACACATTACAAAATGGCTTTTATTATTTAGGTTTTGTCTGTGATTACAAAATTATTTGAGAGGGATAGAACTAGTATATAGAGACATTATATAACTACATGTGAGAATGTGTTCTGTGCCACATGTTGTTTCATTCATATGTTCAGGAAGACAGTTCCAAAGATATGTCCCATATTAATGGAAGGAAGTTACAGACCCAAGGCTTTGTCCCACTGACTGGCTATAAGCCACACCTGATCAGATCTTAATACCTGTTTTGCTAAAGCCCTACCTTTCTAATTCCTTTCAGATAAGCTAAACAGAGAAATGTGGGCCAGATGAGACAGGACTAGTCTCAAAGAGATGAAGATGGCACAGTCCTGTGGTTGATGCTTGAGTTCTCCTCCAACCCTCAAAGAAAGCATTTACTTTTCTTTCCTGGGAAAGAAGGAAGGAGAAGGGAGTTAGTTGGAGGATTGCTTTATTTAGTTTTTTGCATGTGAATGAACATCCCACAGGACAAAGAAAATTTGAGTTTTTTTCTTTTAATGTGGAGTTGTCCCCAGGTTTATAAATCATCTGGTTTCCCTAAATGGCTCTTGCTTTTAAAGTATGAAAACACCACGAATAGTATAGATAGATACCATAGATAAATAGTGCATCGTGTCAGAGTTTAGAATTTGTCATTTGTTAAGTGGTCCTTCTGTGTGGGGAAAAAGGCCTTTCACTTAGCTGCTCCTCTTCCTGTGGGGCAGGAGAGCTCTCAGAGCTTAAATCTGTACCTTAGCAGAAGAGAAAGTGTCAGAGCTGAGGCATGAATCATTGTTGGGCGATTCCACACTGATGATGGCTGTCTCAGGATGTGAGGGCGAGAGCACAATTTGAGCAATATAGGGTTGGAAATAATAGAGCGAAACTGACCTGGGTCCCTAAGGTCTCTCCTTTTCCAGGCTAACGTCATGTTTTAACCAAACCTTGCACGTTGAGCTTTCTTTCCTAATGCGCTGAGCTGCATGATGACTTCAGTTTAATATTAAGCTTTTGCAAGCGAGCCCTTATGCTTAGGTTGAAGGTGGGCTAGGTTTACCCCAGTGGAACCAGTGGAACCTGGGTGGTGCCAGGGTGCACCATAAGGCTAACTCTGGATGATGCCTCTGTCTCTGTGAGGTGAAAGCAGATGGCTAATGGCCCTCCTCGTGGCCCACTTATTGCCATCATTGTTATTAGCAGCAACAGCAACATTTCATATTTCATGCATGCTTAAGAATTCCTGACCCATTATATTGTTTTCACCACAGTCGTAGGTGGCAGAGAAGGGTAGATCACTCCCACATATTCTTAGAGTCCTCAAGGTTCCTTGGGCTGTTGCCACCCTGCAGGAAATTTCACCTTCATTTTAGAAATTAAGAATGTCAATGGCCCCATATCACAGAGCCAGCCTGGTGTGTGACATTGCCTTATGCCCAGGTGCTGCTCCTCACAGGGGAGGGGATGGTTTAGCAATAGCATATTTGGAATCCAGGTGAATAGTTGATGTGCTCTATCATGGTGGCAGAAGTACCGTTGACCAGCCCATTGTCTCTACCTTGTGGTCCCCTGGCCAACCCTAGAATTTTAGAGGCATCGAAGAGAGATCCTAGGTCTAAAGACTGCACTCCACATAGACTAAGTTGGGAAGAATAAATGTTCCCTTTCTCAGCTTGAAGTTGCTAAGGGGAAGCAGTTCTATTGACAACTTGCAGTGAGGTATGGCTTCACATAACATAAACAATATGCACCCTTTATTGCTTGCTCTGTTCTTCATGCTACTAACCAGACTCTGTTGGTGTTATTTTTATTTTAGTTTTTATTTGTGGGGGTTGCTTTGCATGTCATTCTTCCTCTTGGCTGTTAGTTGTGGGGTTTGAGCCTTTTCCTTTCTGTGATTCAGGTGCCTCACTCTTTCCTTTCCAGGTTCTTCCAGTTCTTTTAACATGTCAAACTCTGGAGATTTGTTCATGAGCGTGCAGTCACTCAATGGGGATTCTTACCAAGGGGCCCAGGTTGGAGCCAACGTGCAATCACAGGTAGGGACCCAGCCAATATGCCGCCAGGTGAATGCCTTAGAGTCCAAGAGCCCTCAGTCGTATTGGACTTCCCGCTTCTGTCCAGAGAGAGAGAGAAAGCTAGAGAGATCAGAACCAAAAGCTTACCAACGACCAAACCAAAACCAAGACAACCATTGTCATGGGGAATCTCGTCCACACTTTGTGAATGCATTTGGCTCTGGCTTTTCAGTTGTACCAGGAAGGCAGGAGAAGAACAGTAAGCACAGGGCAAAGTGACAGAGGCACATCAGGCAAGTGGTACCAGCATATACTTTATTCACCAAAAGAAAAAGCAGGTGGTATTCAGAATGTTATCTCAGTTTCCAGGTTTCCCTTTCGTGTGTTGGTTTCCCGTGCTCAATATTTATGAAATGAAGAAGTAATTAACAAGCAGGCAAATAGATTACTATCTGATATTTTTATTTTAAGTTTTAAAAACACCCAGCCAGGTTGACTAAATTCATCTTCTTAGTCATCCTTGAGGTCAAGGGACTTGAGTTTCTGGTGACGAGTAGAAGTCCACAGTGGGAGGCAAAATCAAGCCGTGCGATGTCAAACCTTAGTGCTCCACAGTAAACAGATTTCCTTCATGATACTTCAGGAAGCCATCCTCCTATCTCAGCATGAAACGTGATGTGAGAGGGTAAAGTAGTAGGCTGTGGGTCAGAATTATTAGGGAAGTTCTGAGCTTGTCAGTCCAGTTTCCCACCCTCCATGCGGAGCAGGAAGCATGACAGCCTGGAACAGACCAACTGGTCAGCGATTCACCCCTTTCTTGGGAAACACTGCCTGGAAACAAGTTTGAAGTGATATGGTCAGGCTTTGGTCAAGTGACTAAACAACCAGCCCTCACTTAAGTCCTCAAAAAATACAAGGTCTCAATCAAGTACTGCTCTCTCTCTGAGATGGCTGCCCAAACCTCCTCTAAACAGAACCTTTGTTTTTATAGGATACCCAGCAAAGAAGCAGCTATATAGGATGATCCGTAGGGAAGAAAAGTGGGGAGAAGAGAAAATTCCTTCATGCTCTCCCCTCCAGCCCCCTCTATCATCCTGATCCCTACCATCTCATGCAGACACGTTGAACTAGTTTCAATGTGGGGATCCCAGTTTTCTTTTACCGTTTTACTGTCTTGCTTACTGAACTCAGAACTCATTATGGATTTGGCATACAGAGGAGGCTAGCCTCCGTCTAATGGACTCTCCCAGGACGACTGTCTCCAAAATGATTACATTAACGTGGCATGCCCAAATGGTGCCCTGCCCAATGATCATCTGCCTCCCTTTCCCTGCACCTCTCTTACTAATTTCTCTCTGTTGTTGTTCATCTGTTTAGGTGGATACCCTTCGCCATGTTATCAGCCAGACAGGAGGATACAGTGATGGACTCGCAGCCAGTCAGATGTACAGTCCGCAGGGCATCAGTGTAAGGAAACAACCCCCTCCCCTGCCCCTGCTTTGTTTTTATTCTCTCACTGCCAATTATTTCAAAGCCGTAGGGCCCAGAATGCCACTTAGTAGGGCTTATCTTAGCTTTACGGTCACCCAGTTTCTTGTTTCTGTATTGGTCATGCCATCGGCAGCATCCTACCCACAAAAAAAAGTGGTGACTGGGCAGGCTTCATGCAGGCAGCTGGCGTCTAGGGCTGTCAGACGCAATCAGTGTTTGCATGGCACCTGCGGCCACATGCGTTCAGCTAGAGGAGCTGCTAAACAGGTGACACCTAGTACAACAGTGGTAGGAAATGTGACCACAAGCTGGGGCCTGGGAACCTGGGAAGTGAAACCAGTAGCCAAAATCCATTGCATCCACGTCTGTGGTCTGAAAAAATATGTATATTTTTCCAATCTGTCTACGGACGATTAAAAAGAAAATTAACACAGAAGCTCGGTGTGTGGAAGGGATGGGGAGGGGTGCAGACCATCTTCTACTTGTTCTTGGGTGCGCTGGCGGCTCCTGACTAGCATGAAAATTCATAGCGACAAGCTATATCGCACAGAGTGAAATCGATCAGACAGACACAAGGAGAACCGAGTGTGGATTTGGGACAGCAATCCAACTTGATTTCTCAGATCAATCGTCTGCTTTCTCAGCAGCGGTGACAGCAAGCTGGGACAAGAGGGCAGCCTGGAAAAGGAGGCTGTTTTTTAGATCAGGGATGATTCCTGGGTTTTTAGAGGTCACAAGAGGCTCAAGTAGAACTATTGGCTCTTAGCTGTTGAAGAAAGGTATGGGTGGTGTGTGGCGATCATTTCTTGTTGTTTGTTTTTGTTGCTCTGATTAAAGTAAATGAGGGATGGAAGGAAGAAGAGCTAGGGGTGATTTATTAATGTAATCTGTACTAATGGAGATGTCATGTCTGCAGAGAAGGAGGTGATGGCCTCTTCAACTCTGCATTGGTCAAGTCATACATGATTCTGTCTGGCTTGGGAGGATTAAGAGAATATCAGTTATTTCTGAGATAAGGTGAGGAATGGTTGAACACATTAGGAATTCTTACCTCATAAAAGAGAAAATTTGGGTGGTACATAATAGTGTAAGGCATGCTAACACTATTAGATTCATCACGAATGATCTAAAGGGGTTAGGATAGGATAAGACTAGTGAGTGGCGGATTCAGAGAAACAGGTGTCACTTCAACATCTGATGGACCTTTCTCACAGAAGGAGTCCTCCAAAGAAGGGGTTGGCTATCTTGAGGAGTTCGCCATCATTGGAAAATTCAAACGTGGCTTGGCTAGCTACTTGGTAAGGATGTTGCAGAAGGAAGTCAAGCACCAGATTGTGGTTGTCTTGGTGACTTTCAAGGCCACTTACATTAGGGAGTCTTTATTTTCTACCTTTTTCAGGCAGAATCCCCTCTGAGTTTATACAATATTTGTCAAGCCTCCTCTGGAAGGGAAGGAGAGAAGTCAAAGTTAACGCTGTTAAACAAATTCTAGACAGTCATGTTACTTTCTAGGAAGGATTTTTAGAGCAAAGAGATTCTTCCCATTTTGTGCTTGTTCTAACTACCTTATTACTACTGCATTGATGGCTTACTTGCTGGGAAGACTGCTTGGAAAAACACAAGAAGCCATTGTGGGAAAGTGTATTTTCCAAAAGAATTCCAAATGAATGAAATTGTTTGGGTTTGTCTCCGAGTGCAGCTTTACACACACATGCATTTACGTGTTTCTTGAATATTTTGGGGATATAAGATAAACTTTTCCAGAGAAAGCTTTGCTCTGTGCATAAGCAGAAGAGAAGAACATGAGGAAAGTACAGAGTGTAGAGACAAGAATCTGGGCATACTCAAAAAGGGAACTGAAGGAAGTCCACGTGACTGGGCAGGAAATGGGGCTGACACTTCTGTTATTTGGCATCTTTCTTTCCTAATTGGGCAGCATAGAAGAGAGGGAGCAGACAGACTCTGGAGTTGGGGGGGGGGTGTCAACACTGCCCTCTCTGACATCATCTGGTGGACTGGGAATAATTTCTGAAATAGTGTAACCAAACATGTGCAGACAATTATGTCTGATTACATAAGCCCACCACAAAAACTAGGCTTGAAAATGCCACTTGAAAGAGTCTCTCATTATGCATTAATTTTTTTTTCCGTGAACCGTGGTTATTTTATTTCTGGGCCTTTAATATGCGGGGTAAATGAATCAAAGGCGGATCATGATATGTTCTTTTGATATCAGTTTTAAATTGTGCCACCTGCAGGAGGCTCAGCTTGTTATAGTGAGATATATTTTTAGATGGTGGTTTAGATGCTGAGACGCGTGTGTATAGAGCAGGGCCATGACTGCCAGCAGGAGAGAGAGAGGAGGGGAGACAAGAGACAAGGACAGGAATGAAAGCTTTGAGCCAAGAAATAAAAATAAACAGTTCCTAACCCCAAAGCTGCAATGGAATTCCCAGCTGGGCTCTGGATTGTGTTTGATTCCGTGGAGGACATTTTCTGGGCAGCCTTTATCTGCTCTCCTGGCTGGGCTTTCACAGCACCCATATCTTATCCAAGCAGCATCTATTTTAAGCCCTGTAAAGTTCAGGCCTTGCCTTTAACTGACCACACAGCAATAGGATTGCAAGGTGCAGTGGTAAGAGTCCCATAAAGGGACTGCTAGTCCTAGTAACTCGTGTGCCCATGGGCAAATATTGAATCTCTCTTCTGTAAACTGGGGCCAGTAATCCTCACCCTTTATACCTCAAGGGCTGCCTTAGGGAAAATGAGAAAATAAGCAGGAAAGGGCTTGACAAAGCAGACATTATTCCACATGAATGCAGCATGAAATTTTATAACTGATAACTTTCTAATTTGACCTTTTTTCTCCTTTGACGTGAGCGGTTTTCTCAGTAGGTAGTTCCTAGTGAGGATAGGTTAGGACACAGTTGTCACTTTCTCTTCTGATGGAAAGGTATGCTTTTGAGATGGATATAGTGTTATGCAAGGCCTAAAGACCCCCTTCCTTAGCCACGGTGAGAGTTAAATTATACCTCTTTAGGTACTTTGTGTTCTCATGTGACAAGGGCCAATGCGTACTAAGCTTAGAGTGACTCTTAAGTAATGGAGGGAGATTATTCCACTTCTCTGTCAATCAGACATACTTAAAGATTACTTAGCGATCACATTCTTTCCTATCCATTCTCACTGCCACCATCCTAGTTCTAGAAATAGTTCATTAACTAGACTGTTGCCATAACTTCCTAATCACTGTTGCTGTCTCTAGTTCCTCCTCTCTCCCACACACATCCTCTGAAGTTTGTCATTCCTTGCTCGGAAATCTGTTGCCTACCCAAGCAATCTCAAACCCTGAGTCCAACATTCAGAGTCTTTTGCATCTGCACCCAGTCTTCCTGGCCTTCTGCCTCGTCCTCCGATCATCACAATAAACTCTGCATGCTATTCAGTTTGGTCAGCTCACCTTTACCTCGTTACCCATGTCCCCGTTACGTTTGCTCACGTGTGCCATCTACGCAGATGTCCTTGCACTCCTACAGCGCCTCTCCACCCCACCGCACCATCCAAATCACACTTAACTCTCAAGCCCGGCTCCTCCTTGGTGTCTTTCTTCTTAGTCCTTCTTCCTCTCTTCTCTCTACTTTACCATAGACACAGAGTTCCTTTGCACTGTACATATGTGCACAGAAATTATCGCTGTGTCTTTCACTCCTGCATATGTGTATGATCCTAACATGCGTATATTAGTTGCTCAAAACACGTTCGTTGAATGAATAAATCAGGGAGGAGAAGATGCCACTAAATTAAAAATGCTTTTTAATGACCAATAACCATGTCCAGTGTATCAGCTATGAAGTATTTAGTGAGAATTATCATTTTAAATGCTTATCCACAAATAGATTGCCTTTAAGATCCCAAAATGTCCTTAAGTCTTTCTTTTTTGAAAAAATTTTCCAAGCTTTCTGGCTGATGCATATTCTCTGAGAATAAGATTCAAATCTGCAGTAAGTATGTGAATTTATATGGTGGTGATATTGCAGAGAGAATTATCCTCAGCAGTGGAATCATTCTTATTATGAATTTTTAAAATTCCTTTCACTCCTCCTATCCTTATAGAGTCCCTGTGTTTCTCTACTTAAGGAATCCCTGTAAAAAAAAAAAAAAGGATACATATATATATGTACACACCTGTTTGTGGGATAGCCATGCATGTAGCAACGTAACATTGTTGTAATTGGATTCTCATTGCGCTCCCTACTAGATGTGTTACTGGAACCTCCAAGGACAACCTGGAGGGAGGGAGAAGCAACTTGAAATTGGGAAACTTAGATCCTTCTGGTGACTTTTCTTTTAAGGCGTTACTTCACCTCTGTGTTGTTGCTTCATCTGTAAAGTCTATTAGATAAGCAAACTCAGAGCTCTGTTTCAGCTCAACAACTCTAGTATTCTACAGTTAGGTTCTTTGATTCTTACTGTTAGCTCAAGGGACACCAGACTAAACTGTAGATCATCCCTCCAGAAAACTCTTTCATTAGAGTTAGTAACTTCTATTCTTTCTAGCCAACCCCAGTGTTCGAATTATATCTTGGAACCCAAATGGGAAGGAAGAAGTGCTCTCATTACACAAACTTTTCCCTTTGAATTCCTTGGATATTTGTGATAGCAGAAAGCATTATTACTATTATTATTATTATTATTATTTTGGAGACAGAGTCTCACTCTGTCGCCCAGGCTGGATTGCAGTGCACAATCTTGGCTCACTGTAACCTCCACCTCCCAGGTGCAAGCAATTCTCCTGTCTCAGCCTCCCCAGTAGCTGGGACTACAGGTGGATACCACCATGCCTGGCTAATTTTTGTGTTTTTAGTAGAGATTGGGTTTCACCGTCTTGGTCAGGCTGGTCTCGAACTCCTGACCTCAAGTGATCCACCCACCTTGGCCTCCCAAAGTGCTGGGATTACAGACGTGAGTCTCACTCT